CTGAGCGGCAGCGCGGAGCCGAGCCCTTCGCGGCCCGGGCTCCTCCGAGCTGGTCTCTGGCGCCGAGCAGCCCGGGCACGGCATCAGCCGGGCAGAAGGCAGCTCAGTGCTCGGGGCGTTGGCTAAGGCGGGGGAGTTATGGCCTGTTACTGTACCATGGAAAGGGGGGATTTCAGGGATAGATCAAAGTAGTGCGGAGTCTGGGATGCCGTCATATAAAAACCTGAGGTAGTACGTGTTCTCAAGGCAGCAGTATCTGCGATTACTACAGTGATTAGCCTGGTATCTGTTGCTGTGCAATTCTGATTTGCTCTATTTAACATACAAATAAATGTTTGCAAATGAAGGCAAAGTGTCACTGGTTTACTTTTTCTTGGGGGTCTGAATTTTGTAAATACTTGTCCAACAGCCATGTTTTGGGGGGAAAAATATTTCTTTTGTTACAACTTCTATATGTACAGGGATGGGATTTTTTGCCCTTAAGGTATTATGTTTCTTCTTCTTGCCATGATGATGGTGACTCTTCAGGGTGACAATTTCAGCTATTGATCACTTGGCATTTTGAATATTTTAAGTAATATGACTTTCTTTAGTCTAAATACCTGTAGGAAATTGTTCAATATGCAGGTAGCGGAACCCTGAAAATAGGCTTCTCAGAGGGAGGTTTCCCTTAAGTAACCTCCCTTGGCAGGAGATACTATGATTTACCTACAGAAATTTCAAGTGCACTTCAAAGAAAACGCAGTCCCTGATACGTGTTCTCCAGATAACCCACTATGCTGATTTTCGTATTTCCACCAAATCGGATATTGCAACAGGAGACACCAGTCAGCAGAAGTCAGGGAAGAAGCTGCTCTTTGTGCTCACATGGATCATTAAGTCCAATCTAGTTTTAGGCATGAGTTTGAAACAGAAGCAGGCGCTGGTCATATAAATCCATTTCTATCTTCAACATGAGTGACCGAGATCATGTACCCGAATACCGTAACAATTGGCTGCCGTAATTAAGGAAAATGCAATGAAGTTCCTGTCCAAAAAACTGATTAACTGGAAGCCAGTTGTTTTTGCTGGCACACTGGTAGCTGTTAATCGGGTTTCCTGAGGCTGCTGGAGTGGGAACTAGGGACGTGATTTTCTGAACAGGAGGAGGTCACGCAGGTGTTTATCTGCAGCAGACAGAGGAGATACTGCCACGGCTCAAGTTTGCCAGGTCATCTGCAATGGGACCTGGAGCTAGTTATCACATGGTATAGACAGGATTAAAACGAATACCCATCAATGGGTGGAAGCAGCAGGAACATCTGAGATCACTCAGTGATATATGTCTAAATGAAGGTATATACTGATATTTGAGATGCATGCTCAGAGTCCTTGCTGTTGCTGGGTCTTAGGCTGTTGCGGGGCGTTCAGTGGCTGTAGCCATTCTTTTATATGCAGCTGCTTCAACTGTTGTCTTTTACCCTTGGGTCCAGAGTTTCCAGTGGTCTATAGAGTAAAGTACCCAACACTAAAGCTCTGTGACCGAGGTGATTGCCTGTAGGATTTTGGGTGGAAGTCAGTTTGTTGGTTTTAAGTTTTACAGTCATTTTTTTGGTACCTGATTACCTGAAAGGTTGCTTCTATCCACATGTGGTAGTGCTACACTTAAGAGCAATAGAGATGCCCAAGCTAGAGTCCTCCTGTTTTTGTAGAAAGGAGGCTGTTGATCAGTTTTTGTGAAGATTGGTCTCTGAAACCTTTTTAATCCGAAAGATATCTTGGTATATGTTTAATGTTTAGGATATATCAGAGTTTCTCTGTATACTACTGTTTTGGATATCATCATGTGGTTTTGATAAGACTCTGATGTGAGGCAGAAAAGTTGGAGTTGGTGACAACAGAAAGTTGGTCAGTGGGTCAATCCTTAAAAAGCCTTGTACAGCAGCTCTCAGATTTTTCCTAACTGAATAATACATGTTTTCACATCACATGGTTCGACATAAAACGATTAGGAAAGAACAAACATAAACAATCCAGGGATTGCTCTTGATTTTTGGCAAGATGTATCTTATTTTCCTCAGTGAATCTTAAGAGGCTGTATCATTCTGCCTACTCACAGACTTGCTTTCAGACAGAAAGTTGCTAATGCACAATAATAGAAAGTGTGGGGTTCTAAGAGCATTCGACCACATTTTTCAGTGCAGTAACTTCTTATGTCTTTGAATTGAATTGAAATTCACCATCAAAGCTAACAAGCAGTGTCCCAAATCCATGCTCCACACGGGGCAGAGAGTAAGATCAGGAAGATAATGTCCTCACATGAAGCCAATTGATTGCTTCTGAAAATGCTACCAAGTACTCCAGAAAATAAAATTACAGGACACTGAGAGGTTCCAGCTTCTTAGACTCAGCTGGAGGAAGATAATACAGGGAAGTGGTAGAGGAGGGTAAACAAGCAGGATAGGGAGAGAGAAGGGAGAGGAGATAGGTTTGCAGTGAACAAGCCAACTAGAAATTTGCAATGAATATTCATTTAAATTTGTTTTATTTTTAGGCAAAAGCAACAACTATCAAAGAAGCTCTAGCCAAATGGGTAAGTACTAGAACAGTATCTAGCTGCTTTGCAGTACTCTGTGGCATGGGTTTTGACTGTATTCAGCTAAATTTATTTGTCAAAGTTATTGTAAGAAATATGTTTGCTTGAAGCATCTGCTATAAGAAGTTTCACAAAGTAAAAACCTTGTTATTATTGAAGTATAATATGTTCTGTTGGACTTTCTGCGTGTTCTTGTTAAATTGGTACAGCTGGTAAAGATGAGTCTGTTTTGCTCTCCTGCCTTGTTTTGCTGAATATGCATTGATAGAAGGCCTGAGGTTACAAAGAGATTTAAAGTTGGGGATGTCTTATGTTTTAATTATGCTCCGTTCATTTTGCCTGAGTGTAGTCCTTCCCACAGAATAAACAAGTATGAAATTCTCACTGTACTGAAGTCAGCGAAACTTCTACTATTGTCTTTTAACATATGGTCCCTCATATTGTGCAAAGCTTAACTCAGAATGAGTTTCTTGCTTGTTTTTCTTCTTAAAGTACTGTGTTAATACAGACAGTCATTTGGGGTGGTGACTGACCTGGTCTTGGAGCCTTCTAGAAAGCTGTTTGGTGGCAAGGATGCGGATGTAATTTCAAAGGATGCTCTGGGGTCAGGTTCACAGTCCAGTAAAACCAGTGACAATCTTTCCCCAGTCTCAGTGAATTTTAGATTAGAGCACACGTGTGCTGTTCAATATACATGCACTCTCCTGCTAATTCTGGCCAGCTGCTAGAGCAAGAGTTTATAAATGTTTTGGTCTTAGAAGATCTGGATGTAATTGAAGCCTACTTCCTTTTTGAATTTTATCATTGTTTAGTACCTTCAGTATTTCAGAGTTTTTTCAGTTATGTTGGTATATCCCACAAACTTCACTCTGGCTCTCCTAATAAGAACTAGAGTGCAACAGCTTGCGGACGTTAGCATTACTAGAGGTGTGAACTGAGTATTAAAAAATTTTGCTTTTCCTCCCTCGTTTTTTCTGCCCTCCAAAACCTCAACTCCGTGTTTCCTGTTAAAGATTTATTTTCCATTTGCTCCTCTGTCACATGTCTCTTAGAGATAATAGACCTGTGTCAGTGAGTTTCCATAAACGTTAGGCATGAAGTGCTGAATTTGCTTTTCTGTTCATGTTATTAGGGGGGGGTCTAAATCTTCCTTTTACTACTCCTAATCTGGGTCCATGTGACTTGTAAAATTGGACCTGGTGGTGTGTTGCATTCCGGATGTTTTCCTTCTCTTTGACATAAGGGTTTACCTATGCCCTAAAGTCAGCATGACATTAGTTAAATCAAAGCAACTTAGCAAACATGTGACCTGTTCTTTAAAAAGTGTCTGTTCTACCTGTGGTTTCTCTGTGGCTTACTGTGGTCGTTCAGCTGACCTTTCTTCCAGAAGTGCGCGGCAATCAGGATTACTTTTCTTCCTGCAAGCACTCACTGCTGGCCACAGTCTGTGTTGGAGGCTCTCTCCCTTGCGTGTTTTTAAGAAAAAATGTATTTTTATTTGTGGTATAAACTGATAGATTATAAGCTAAGTATAAATGCAAATAGATACAGTGTTGTTCTTGGAAAAGAAAACGGAAGTTTCACATTTATATAGTGACGTAGTTTGAACACATTCACGGTATTCTAGCAAAACATCTGACGTGCTTATTTGCTAAATCGCTAATTATGAGTAAAAATACTATCACACTGAATTTGTACAGAAACTGGAGTATAAGTAAATGCACAAGGCAACATGCTAATTTTTTATTAAATTAAATTGCCTGAAGTATTTTCGGTACGTAAGAGAGAAAATAACATTATCAAAACCAGATCTTGTGCTGTGGGATTCTTAAAGACTTCTGGGACGCAATTCATTTCGTTACAAAGTAGCCATATAACCCAGGCCAGATCTCAGCTCTCTCACTTTTCAGTAGCTGCATAAAAATGGGGGAGAAAACAAGAGTCCTTGTTTTGAAATCGCCGAGTAGATTTCTCCTTTGTTAATGGACCTCCAGTCCTCCCACTGAACGCTGAGTGAATTGACAAAATGCTCCCTTTGTGCTGTCAGGGAGGCAGCTGTCAAAACTGTTGGTACTACCTAAATAGATACTTGTTCCAAGTGTTTAGTCAATAATTGCCATCACTTCAGAATTTTAAAAGCTTTAATAGACTATATTTTTTAATAAACCCAAATGCTGAAGTTATGACCATTTTTCTAAAGCTCTGAACTTTATAAAGTATTTAATCTAGAAAATTATCAATCTAGATTGTAAATAGGAAATTTGTCTTTTGCTGTATTCTCTAAAGTGTGAAATCTTCCCCCACTCTTTTTTAATGGCTAATTAGAAATTTTTTTTTTTTTTTTAGATTCTTAACTGTAAATCGGTTGAGGTTCTCCCCCAAAACACACTCCCCCGTGTTCAGTTGGTGTCGTGAGTTAGGTGTGAGTTCTGAGTTTCCTGGGTGAAGTGGGAAGGAGATTTTTCTGTCGGAGCTTTTAAGAATTGGCTTCTGCTACAGACTGGCCCTAGTTGAGGCTCCTGTATGTCAGTCTCCATGGAAGTACCTTCATTCCAAATTTTAAACCTCCATCTCTTCTCCATTTCTTTATGGCAGAGGACGCCTTAATTAAATTGCTCAAGTGTAACACAACTTTTAAAAAAAACATGTGTAATGTATAAATTCTTTTAATATCTTGAAAATAAGCTAGCCTTCCTGTCTTTATGCTACATCAGCACAAATCTTGATAAACAGTATTCAAAATGCTTTCTCTTTTCAGTAATATCTTTTAGTAATATATTGGAATTACTTCTATGGTAATCACTTCTATAGTAATTTTTTAGTGTAATAATTTTTAGTAATTGCATGTAGCAGTGAGCATCTTCTTCACCTTCTGTTTTCTTTAGGAAGAAAAAAATGGCCAGAAGGCTTCAGAGGCAAAGGAGGTGAAATTGTACGGTCAGATTCCTCCTGTAGAGAGGATGGATGAATCTCTCTCCACGCTTGTTAACTGCGAGTAAGTTCAGTTAAAAACAAATTGGAAACCAAACGTTCTCTTCGCTTTTTATTAATTTTCAGTTTTTCTGCTGTCTGGTGTGCAAATATGTGTTTACTATGTTTAAGTGCGGCCTTCAAAGCAGCAGCTTTCTCTTTTTCTCAGCTAAGTTTCTCTTTCCACACACAGTTCCACTTTTTAATTGTAAGATCCCTGTCACTTAACTGAGAAAATGTTAGGGAAGCTTAGCGTACTGATATTTGTCCCCAGAAAATCGGTATATTGCTTATCGGCATATAATTACGGGTCCGTGTTTGGAGTCTATTGGTTAACTGGCACATTTATGCAAAAAAAGGAGACCTAACCAGGACTTTCAGAAAGAAGTTAGAGCCATTTCAGAAATAAATATCCATGCATTTGCCAAGGCTAGGCATAAAAAAGATAATCCAATATGTCATGTAACTAACTCATGGTACTTTCCCAGAAGCTAAATAAAGTTGCAGAAGTCTTGATGGTTTGAGGATATTTTGAGTCTGTTTACACATCCAGTTAGTTTACCATCTAATGAGAGAAGAATAGACAATTATTTCTAATGCAATTTTTGCAAATTGCAATTTTTTGCATTTGGATGTTGAACTCTTCTGATATAGTGATCCCTTGTACACTGTGAATTGATTATTCTTGCTTTTAAAGGAAACTATCGCTGTCTACAAACTGCATTGAAAGAATCGCCAACTTGAACAGCCTAAGTAAGTGACAAGCCGGTCATTGATTATGTTTGTTTTCTGGTTGGATAGGACGTACACCATAATTTATTATATGTGTTCAGCTTTATACCTATTCTTAACCTTTTTAATTTCTTCCTCTTAGAAAATTACAAGTGACCTTTAAAATTACGAGTCTTACTGGAGAATGCATGTTTAGCAATAATGGTGTATTAAAGCATCTTTCCCTGTGCACTAGCCTTGGCAGTTGTCTCACTGTGCAAGTTTAAAAAAAAAAAATCCATTCAGAAAGCATCTTGGTAACTTCCAGTGGGCCTGAGTTGTGATATTCAAAAGCTAATCAGTTCTAGAGTGATTTAATGACCGATTTCCGTGCTCATGATGGAGACAGTCTGTAGATCAACAACTCTGTAATTGTGGTATTGGTTGGACTGAGGTTGGAGTGTCGTAGATCTGGATGGAAAAATGCCATTCCACTTTGCAGAGGATTTGGATTGATTTTGTTCTTACTTGAAAGGGGCGTGCCATCTGTCTAGAAGTGGAACTGAACTTTTATTTCATGGGCAGCTTGAAACTCATTGGCTTACTGAATTTAGGACCGAAGTCTTAGTGGTCTGTCCTCAAGACTTTGACTCTGTGGCATGAGGCTGGCAAAAAGCTGCAGGTTTTGGGCTGGAGCTTCCAGGCTTTTCTGTCCCCGTCAAACTGCCAGGGGGACACACAAGGAACCTGGAATCCCATCCTCTCCAACTACACACCAATGGGGCTCTCAAGGAGTTTGATGAACTTATTTGTTTTCGTAATATGCTCAGATTTCAACTAATTTGCAAATACTAATCAGGGAAAAAATATTCCAGTAGTCTTTCCAAATAACTGTACTGTAGTATTTAAATTTGAGTAACTCTATCATAAGCAAAAATTAATTAGGCAGTTATATATAAACGTGAAAGCAATGAAATTTTTTAGTGGGATAACACATTAAAAGCCTTTAAAGCATCTTAAATATTCGTATTAATAAAATGTAGAATCAAAACATCCAGTCTGTACCAAATATTTGATCGTCAAGCCAGACAAACTAGAACTACGTGGCCTATCTCTTAAAGGTACAGAATATGAGGAACTCACCATCTCTATTGGCTTCTGTGAAAGAGAGAGAAAGCAGTGCTTATAGTTATGAAAAACAAGCCAGTAATTATTACATATTTGCTTTTGCTTATTGCAGAGAGGAAGCTGAGAAATTTTTTTAAGCATCTACGCTCTTTTCAGATGGAAAAGATTAGTATTAATGTATATGCCTGATATTGTAGTTATGTCAAATAGATAATTCTGTGTAAAGGATCACACCCCTGTATCCGTACATGTGAGGAAGATGTTTTAGATGACAGCAACAAGTGTTAGTTTTGTGTTTTAGAGAGTGTAAATGTTCCATGAGGGAGATCTTTCTTCCCTCTATTATAGACATCAAATCTGCTGCCTTAAAATAAGAGTGGAACTACTTTTGCCTGAAGAATAACGGGTATGAACTATGTAAGATCAAAACTAGCAAGTTAGCAGTTAGAGTTCAGGTGCAAGGTGAAATAATCATTTTTATTCAGTATTTATCTGGACTGAATTTCAACTAGGTAACCTACACATGAGCAACTTTGTATTCATGGGCGTGTTTCTGAGCTGTCCGCTGCATCCATTCCTGATGGTCTGTGTATGTCAGGAGGTTTTGTTTCTGTTATGTCATTCTTTCTTAAGACAGCCTGTTCAGAGTGCAGTTTGTTTCTAAGTAGAATATGGTGTTTTACCTGACTTACAGCATCTTCTTATATTTAAAAAAACCCATTTATTAACAATAAACTTCCTTTTATCTATTACAGAAAATTTGAGGATTCTGTCTTTGGGAAGAAATAACATCAAGAACTTGAATGGATTGGTATGCGCTTCTTAGTATCAATTCTTCGCTAACAAAATGGAGTGCTGTCTAGAACGTGGGATAATTCCCCTATGTTCATAACAGTGCTGAATTTACATTATTGCTTAACTATTTATTTTCTCCTTTCACTATGATCTGTTCACATTGCTTCTGAATTTTCAGATAGTCTTTCTCTTTTTTTTTGTTTAAACACTCTTCATGTTTGAAGATTCTTCAGGGCTAATTTACTACATAAAAGGATTTTAGAAAGAGTGATTTCATTGTCTTTGACAAAGATGAGCAGAACTTTTATTTGAAAACTGCTGTCTGTCTGTCTGTAAAGCCCTTTCAATTCCACTGGCTTTACATGAAAATAATTCCTTTTTGCATGAGGAATTTCTACCTGAAGATACTTAAGGCTATGCTGCTTCTAGAGGTCTTTTCCAACCTTAATGATTCTATGAGTCTATGATTCTACAAATATTGGCAGTCCTATGAACACACACTTCATGAGAGTCTGTCCTTTTTATGTTAACTGGCACCCGCAGCAATATGGCTTTAGGGGAAGAGATGGCAGGACGAAGTCTACCAGGTAGGGGAAAATTTGTTGAGGAAAAAATTGGATCGATTTTGTTACATTTGAATTAAGGGCAGAAGAACTTTTTTTCAATCAACTTTTTTTTAATTAATATAGAAATTCTTTTCTTCCTCAAGAGATACTGTATGTTTCTCCTGCAGAATGTTTCTCTTCAAAGCTACTCCCACCTTCAGAGATGTCATATCTCTTAAGTGTGAAATGCAGAGTCAATGTGTAATGGCTGGTTTAAAAAAACCTCTTTTTTGAGAGAATTATGAAAGCAACTTCTGGCCAACAGGTACAAACATACATGCACCTGAAATGAATCATTCCCTCATATTGTATAACCCCCAAAGTAGTTGTTGAATTGCATTCACTTCATGTATACTTGCAGTGCACAAGCAGCCGAATTTATCTCCTCTGCCCTTATGCCTTAAGAACAACTACTCCCGTCAGCTATTCCGTGTCTTATTCTAATATTCTGATTTCTGTCCTCCTAAATATATTTCAGATCCTTTGCTCTTAATTCCCATGAGTATTTGTCATGCATAATTAGGGACCTGCTTAAAAGGAAATGAGGACCAATATACCTTAGTATTTCCTCACATGAGGTGACCTGTAGGGGGTGAAGAGAGAATCTGAAGAATAAGGAAGATATACTTCCGCTTACCTGAGTAGTCCTGTCATTTTCCAGGAGGCAGTTGCAGAGACTTTAGAGGAGCTGTGGATCTCATACAACTTCATTGAGAAACTGAGGGGTATCCGTGTAATGAAGAAGCTGAAGGTTCTTTATATGTCAAATAATTTGGTGAAAGACTGGGGTAAGCCACACCTCTCCATTCTGGAACTTCTCCTGTAGTATGGTGAATGCATGAGTTAAGTCACCAAGTAAAAAATAGTTCTGTATGTTACACGGCTTTAAGTCTCACTGATAAGCCTGCAGACATGTGCTGAATCCCTTAAATATCCACTCATGCAAGAGAGTAAAAATAGTTAGAATATTGAATTTAACTTCTAAGCCCAATGGAATTTGTTCTTTGAATCATCTTTCTCGGACTTCTTTTAAAATGCATACCTGTTCTTTAACCTGATACCAGTTCAAGCCCAAGCAATCCCTATCCTGTTGTATCCCATGCTGTTTATGTTTGCACTGAGTTTGAAAGGAAGGTTTGGTGCAGATGTACTTTCCGTGTTCCACAATCTGGTTGGTGTTTTCACCTTTGTGGTTGCAGCAGAGTTTGTGAGACTGGCAGAGCTGCCATTACTAGAGGATCTGGTGTTTGTAGGCAATCCGCTACAAGAGAAATATGCTTCTGATCAGAAGAACAATTGGATTGAAGAAGCAACCAAACGGGTACCCAAGCTGAAAAAGCTGGATGGTGAGTTTGGGGCATGAGGCAATTGGTCTGAGTTAACAGCTTAATATAAAGACAACCACGGGGAAATGAATCATAACCTCAGAAATCCATCTGTGTGCCCATGTAATATTCCTCCCTCCTCTCTTTGGAGTTATTCAGAAGTAGGCTTAACTTCTGGCAGCTGAATTTTGCAGCCCTGGCTGCAGGATCTTCTGAAAGTGTTTGATGGATTTTGGAGTATTAAGTCCAAGTGGTCATGCAGCCCACAGTTGCGCTTTACTCTTGAAGTTATCCAGTCAAATAGTTTTAGCACATAACTAATAGGGAACTGAAACATACTGGTTTGAAGTTCTCTTGTGGAGTTCACATGTTGACTTGTGTAACTATATAGTTAAATGTTTAGCATTAAATAAGTTAACAAGGCTTTCATCTGCCACACTGAATTACAGTTTTCTGAGAAAATCTGATTTACAGTTTTCCCCAGCAAAAGAGGGGGAATGGGGATACACAGGGATATGTTTATGCTTCTGGTGCAGGGGCAAGTTTGCAAAACTTCATGCAAGTTTCCTAAATGCCTGAATATCCCCCTCTTGTCACCACACTAAGCCCCAATTTATAAGCTTTCCTCTCCTTTTTATCACAAATACATTAAAGCATGTCCTGATCAGTGACTAAAAGTGAGGTAATTTTAAAATCTGTTTTTAAAGATGTTAATTTCTGTTAATGGAGATGTTAGATGTTCACTGTTAGCTGCTGTTTACTAAAGCAATGAAGAGGAGAGCAGGACTGGTGACACTAACGAAGAGTCAGAGTAACAGCAGGGAAGGTACGAGTGTAGGGATGGCAGCAAGAGGACAGCATCAGTACAGGGAGCAATGGATGGGAAATCAAAGCCAGATCAACTGGAGTAGTAAGAATTCTTGGGAAGTGGAAGCCTGCTGAGAGAAGTGTACTGCTACGGAGGATGGCCTGCAGTAGTCCATTTGCTGTTGTAGTAGAAAACATTTTGAGAGCGAAACAAAAAATGAAATAGGGCAAGTATCTGTATGGGCAGAGAGTAACCTTATTAGTATAAGGTTAGACCCTTAGTTTCTTAAGCATTACTGCAGCT